GATCGCGGAGTCTATAGGCATTGTTTTGCCGGATCATGCTGCGAAAGAGCTTTCGGATGATGTGACTTTCCGAGTGCGACACATTATTCAGGTGAAGTTTCATTTCATATTAGTGCTATGAAAGCGAGTATGGAGATTTGTTTATTTATTTTATCGAAAATTTTGTTGATACAGTATAACGAACATTCTTCATTTGTGACCGTTTTTGGAATATGATGGAAATTTGTCGTGAAAGTTTAAAAATTGAAGTTCTGTTGAGTGGGAAGCGAGGAGACGTAACACAGCTATACAGTATGATATTTCTAACGTTTCGGATTGGAAGGAAAAACAAACTAACCAATGACTTTTCAGGCACTTCCTATTTTTCCGAGTACAGTATCAAGAATTTTTTTTCAGAAGTTCAAGGTATTTTTTCAGAACGCGGCATAATGAGAAGTGGAAACTTGCCAGTAACCGCTGGAGGTTTTAATTTATTCCAGAAAATAGTAAGCAGAAAATATTTCATGATAGTTTAATAATCGAAATTTTGTTGCGTAGAATGTGGAAAATGTAATGGTCTTCACAAAAACGCAATGCAGTATTTTTTTTAGAACACTACATTATGAGAAGTGAAAACTTTTCAGGAACAGCCAGAGGTTTGAACACTTTCAAGTGATTCCAGAATCTGCAGAAAATTTGCAATGAGGGTTCACAATTTTAAATTGTGTTTCTCTGTGGAACATCGCGTTTCTCACATTCTGCGCAACAAAATGTCAATTTTAAAAGTCACGTGCAAAATTGTCTGGTTTATGTTCTACACAGAAATACAACTTTAAATTTTAAACTCTCGTGACAAATTTTCTGCATATTCTGGAATCAATTAAAACCTTTGGCTGTTTCTAAAAAGTTGTCAGTTCTCGTTGTGAAATCTTTTGAAAATGTGTCTTGAAAATCTGAAAAAAATGGCAACTGCCTGAAACATCATAGGGTAAATTTTTTTTTCGATTTTCAACGAAGTGTGAAATATCTTCCATTGCGCGTCATTAGGACAATACTTGTCCTTTATTTTTCATAGTCTCAAGGAAGTTACAGAAAGCATCGAACAACTTCAGAGAATTTTCCTTACTGTATATCACGAAAGATGTGCGGAACTGGGACAGATCTCTCAACATCGTTTAAAAAGAAGACTTGTGTTTTTCTGAAAAAAAAGAGTGTCATTGTGTAAATTGACCAATTTTTCTTTTCAGGACGCCTCGAAGTTTATGGTCCACTCGAAACGAGACAAAATGCTCACGTGGGACATAGATCATACGTTGAAATCGAAGAATGTTGAGCCGATTTATGGCTTCAGGGCTGCCGAAAGTATTCCGTTCCGTTTTGCCAGTGGTGGAGGAAGAGAGCTGTTTTTCAATGAAGAAAAGGAGATTGAGCTCGGAGACCTCGTTAATGCGCCTGTGCCGAAAGTTCCTTCAGATGCCCAACTGAAAGGTACACAGTTTATTCGTCGACTATTTTTTTCTACAATTATGAATTTAATTTTGTGCGATACTTGGTTTGAATTCTCTTGGTTTAAATTTTCGCTTCTTTTTTTTTTGTCCAGTGCATTGGCTGGCTATTGATGGAATTCAGCCGTCGATTCCGGAAAATCCTCCGCCGATTGGCAAGGATTTGCAGAAGAGGGATTCGTCGGATCCCGCTGCCAAAATCATTCCGGGAACTGCTGCTCATCCTCAACCTCCACAAACAGGGTGCGAATTTTTCAAAAAAACAATTCAACGACGAATTTTTGATATTCCCTTTTTTCCTTTTTTTTTTCCTACTTTGCCGAATGGAAAAATCATCGTGAAATCACTGCAACCTGTTTTTCTGGAAAAGATTTCGTTTCCACCACTAATGAAATCTTTTTTTCAAAAACGGATCCCTGTTCTAAGACA